GATATCAAGATTGTGAAAAACCAGGACTAAGAAGAAGAAAAACTTCTGCTATTGACTACCTATGGATTTACCATTTGGAAACAGGGACTAATCAGATTAAAGATCCAAGCCAAATACAATCAACACATCCTTAAAATTGTTTCTCCTGAACCACTGTCAGTACCAAATTTGGTGGATAACATTCATCAAACAATCTAAACTTTAGTTTATATACCAAGAAAAAAATACTTCAAAAGTCAGTGGGACACACCTATAACATTACCAGGTGTTTCTACTGTAATGGAACAGTTAACTCCTAAGAACTTCTCCTATGCCCACCTAATTAAGTTAAAATTCCTTAAAGAACCAAAGAAAAATTCCTTTTATAGCCACCGAAATATGAATCCCAATTTTTTCCCAAACTCCTATTTCGTATAAGTGCTAAGGGACTTTATACTGCTTGCTTCCCGCAGCACTCTTCCTGAAAGAGACTTCTCAGTTCTTTATCTTGATATCGTCATAGAAGGATACATAAATTCCAGAAGATCTGACACATTTTTTTATTGTAACATTTAAAATCAAGTTTTCAATTATAACCCATTGATCTACTCAAACAGCACTAGTAAGTTGGTGACGAAAGTCTGAAACAACCTTACTTAAAAATGATTTTGGAAAATATCTTAGAATGAGATTAAGAAGGCAAGTTTAAATTTACTGAAGTCAGTCCCAGGATGAAATATTTTGCTTTTAAGGCAGGGTTTTACCTGTCCTTATCACACTTTCCCACATCTTTCAGATGATTTCAATTTCATACCTTTAAGCTTTATAAATTAGCAATTTAATTGTCCTCTCAATAAACTAAGAACACCGTCATACTACATCCATCAACAGTCAACAGACCTGCCACCTACTAGATTGCCATGATCTAATTTACTTGAGGCTGGAGAGATTTCTTTATAAGGTCAAGTATATGTACAGTGCTGCCTTATAAGCTATGCTAACAGTAACTATAAAAACTCCAATACTAACTTTGTCACGTAAGCTGAACAAAAGCAAATATAAACTAACAATACTAGATAACAGAGCTATGCAATATAAGAATTATTCCAAGCAACATATTACCACTATATTGCGCTTTCTTAGTGAAATGTAGTCGAAAGACAAAAGAATTTCAAAGAAGTCTTCACCTTTAAAGAAACCTTAAAGGTCACTCGGTATATTTATTGTTCATAGTAATGCTGGTTTATGATTCTAAAATTACTTAATGTGTGCTATCCAAAAGCAACGTCAAATTCACTGCCACTGACTCAATTCAGACTGAAATCAATCTTCAAGAAAGTAATTATTTTTGGAACATCAGGACTTGGATGGATGCATGCATGAATTCGTAAGTATAAAATTCTACAGTACAGATTTGGAATGAAACCCTCAATATGAACTCGTGGTTTTTCAACAAACTTATTTCCTAATCTTATACAAAGAAAAAGTCTAACATAGTCCAGGGATCTGACAGCAAGTCAATTATGGCAGATATAAATACTGCCTTCTCAAAGCTGACATCGCTATCTATAGTACGATGCTATTTGTCTTTTTCACTGTGTTGACAAGCAATGGTAACTAAAACTCTTGATGCATAAGCAGAAATCAAAGTTGGGGCTCCAAACTCTATCTAGTTGCCACACTGGCATTTAAAAAAAAAAGTAATGAAAGGCCAGTTTATTTAAGAAAGCCCTTAAACCTGAAAAATTAATTTTATGAAATCTTGACCTTGGAGTATACTGGAATTCTGTGTGACAAGACACAATATACATAAACTACATCATGCAAAGCATGTTGTTAAAAAAAATAAATTATACACCCCACCCCCAAGGGCTCAAATAGAAAGAAAATGTTTTGAAAATGATGTTGGCAACAAATGTGCTTGATACAACTGATGTATGGATTGTTGTAAGAGCTTTAAGAGCCCCCCATAAAATGATTTAAAAAAAAAACAAAAAAAACACTAGCTCTGAGTTGCACGCCAAACTAACCATCTTTCTCTGGAACACATGCCATTCCTATTTGAAAGATTGACAGATTACACTTACTCACATTTGGGTATTGGCCAACATTTAATGAAAATGTTTTAAATAGATAGGTTGTATTTAAATAAAAACACTTTGGGATCCTCAACAATTTTTCTTGAAGAGTGTAGAGAGACCCAAAATATATAAGACCAGCTACTCTGGAAATGAATGCATACTATATGTAATTCTATAAAGGCAAGTACTAAAGACTACAATCACTCACTATATGACGCTGCATTAGAACACATTAACTCTGTCAGCATTAAGCATGATTTGGCATGAGCATGTAGATCAGCAGTTCTCAACCTGTGGGTCAAGACCCCTTTCTGGGTTGAATCACCCTTTCATAGGGGTTGCCTTCGACCATCAGAAAATACATATCTGATGATCTCAGGAACTGAGACACCGGTCCTCATTCCGTCTCCAGGCAGGTCCGCCTACATGCAGATACGCCCACATATGAGTACACAGCGTGAAGACTGTGACCCATGCAACACCATGCTTCAAGACAAAATTTCATTTATTTGTCATTAGAAATAAATATTTCACAATATAATTACATAGTTTTGTGATTAACTAAGCTTTATGTTCAATTTGTAACAATGAAAATACATCTTACATATCAGATACTTGCGTGATGATTCAGAACAGTAGCAAAACTACACTTATGAAGTAGCAATGAAAATAATGTTATGATTGGGGGTCACAACACGAGGAACTGTATGAAAGGGTCACGGCTTAAAGAAGGTTGAGAACCACTGGTGTAGATGGATCATGTAAGCATGTAAAAGTAGGCCATAATTTTTTCCCTTTCATCTTTTTAAAAAAGTTTTATTAACACTTTATCCACGTCATACAATTCAATAGTTAAATTTCAAGAAGAGTTGTACAATTCTAAAATATTTCCTTCCATGTAGTGTTATTCATGTAATTATTTTTTCCCTAATTGTAGTCCACAATTTTTAATCTTTAACGATTCCCAATAAGCTCGTTACAGAATTTTAGTAAGGCCACAAACATTAGAAAACTCATCCCTTAATTGATTTAAAGTAATTCAACCTACAAAAATAAAAGATATTGTCTGCCTCTATAATTTTCAATGTCAAAATTAACACTATGACAAGCAATTTAAGTAAAGGATTTAATTTTTTTACAAAAAGGTATAAACTCAAGCAAATTAATTTCAATACCTATGCAGGACCATGTTTAAATGACTAATTGCCATGATATCTGCTAATAACTTCTTAGAATAAATTGGTTTGAGTTGGGCCCTTTAATAATAATAAAAATCACTGGTAGTGTTTTACTTACCCGTTTGGGGCCGCTAAAAATCTTTCTGGTATTATCCTTTGATTTATCTCCTTGTTTATTTGGAGGCTTCTTCACACTTTCAGGCACACCAGGCAAGTCCTCTGTAAAATCCAAGTTTTCTGAAATGGTAATCAAAACTAGCTAGCTTTCTATTATTTCAAATGACCTGCCAGACAACTTGTGAAGATCTCACATTATACTGTGGGAGAAAAGACTCAAGGCATAAAAGCACCACACCGCTGACTAAAGAGACAATGACATTAAGAGGCATTCTCCACTCATCCCTGCCTATAATCTCCTCTAAATGAAGATACAGGTCTTTCAACTAGTTCAAACGGTTCAGTCACGGCTAATGCAAACAAAGGCAGCTTGTACATTACTAAACAACCAAATCTCTTGCATTACAGACTGTGACTAGAGTACAAAAGAGGCATGGTGACTTACTCAAAGATGGTGTAATGCACAACACTTTAAATGTGTCAGTCAGTCAGCTATCATGTTTGCATAAGAGACTGCAGCTTGTCTACTTAGGTCAAAACCAATGCACAAAAGATATTATTGCTATGCACCACATAACACTGCCTTATTTCTACTGGCCATAAATAAAGTGGTTTGACCCAATTAAAGCCCTGTGAAAATCATAACTCTTGTTTTCTATATATAATATTTTGTGTAAATGGAAAAATTAAAACTTCTCCAGTGTCATGATTTTAGTTTTCATAGCTCACAGATCTGTTGGATATGTGTAGATACTATCACTAGTTTAAGCGTGTACACACACACACACACACACACACACTGATAGAAAATATCAGGTAGTATCCACCTTTAATACTTCCCTAGAATTTAAGTTTACAAAATTATATTAGTTTTAAAGGAACACCTGTTTACGAATTTACAAAAATGCATAATAACATGAAATTTTAAAGCAGAGGATACCTTCCTTTTGCAAAGCATATTAAATGACTTAATACAATACAGTACAGTAATCTGTGGGTCTTACCAGAAAACTAACCAAAAGATAGTTTTCCAAATGATACTATTTTCTAACTTAAAGAAAAAGACTCAACCCTTCAAATTGTTTCGCATAGGCTCTAACTGAAGGAAAAATAAATCTTGAGATGAAGACAAAATTAAATTGGCTCCAGTCTCCAACCTCTTGCACACCTCTCTGCTTACTTCTAAACAGGAAAACATGTCTATTAATAATAATAGCCTACCTTTGGGACAGCAAGCTTATGTCAATGCAAGAGGAACATCAAGAAAAGGGGAGTGGGAATGACTGCATGTTGAACACAATCATTGTTATTGAATAGCGCAGGTAGAAAATTGAGTTGGTATATGATTTTACTGTGTACATTCAACAACAACAAAAAATATTTTTTAAAGTTTCACACTTTATATGAAGACTCAAACTCCAACTTCAGATGTTACAACCACATGGGCTCTTAATTTCTAGGTGTTATTTGGTTTCAAGATTTATACAGGGAGCATAATGGTTCCATAAGCAATTGGAAGTCATCTAGCGGCTCAACAGAAGGCTCCAGGTTGCAAAGATTACAACCTAGGCAATCCTATGGTGCACTTCTATGTCACTTTACGGCCACTGCAAATCACAGAGACTTGATGGCATCCAACACTTTCATGAGCTCCCTGTGTGGTACAATGGTTAAGCATTCAACAACTACACAAAAGTTTGGAGGTTCAAATCCATGCAGAGGCATCTGAGAAGACAGGCCTGGCAATCTATTTCCCAAAGGTCACAGCCCTGAAAGTCTTATGGAGCAGTTCTGTTCTACACATACAGGGTTGCCACATGTCAAAATCCCCTTGACAACAACTAACAAATCATTTCCTACTTTAAAGTTTAAAAAAGTGTATTGTCCCAAGACATAAATTTCAGTCACATATTTTTCAACTGCTGGTTAGGGTAACTTATTTCCAAGTTACTACAAACACTTAAACTGCAGTACTGTTGCAGGACAACAGTCAGGTTTAGGTACACTCATCAGTCTCAAGAAAGCAACTTTACAGTTGTTCAGGCTAGCAAGAGCTTAGAAGATTGCCATGGCTGCTGTAGACTTCAGTTTGCCTGAAATTCAAGGAGACAGTCTAGTAATACCTTTAACTTTTTAAAGTTTCTATCTTTAATTTGAGGATGGTTCAAGGACTTTGAATGTCGCCTTTTTGATTCCAAGCTATAATAAGCTCCTACAGGACAGAGTAGAGCTGCCTGATAGGCTTTTTCTTGCATACACACTGCCATCCTGGTAATTCTGACTCATAGCAACCCTGTAGTAAGACAGGGTAGAACTGTCCCTGTGGGTTTCCAAGACTGTAACTCTTTGTGGGAATAAAAAGCCTCATCCTTTCTCCCTTGAAGCAACTGGTGGTTTTGAACTCCTGACCTTGAAGTTCGATTTCTTAGGCTGTTAATTTTGGGGAGCAGACCATCAGGTCTTTTCCCACCAAGCTACTGATGAGCTCAAACCACCAACCTTTCAGTTAGCAGCAGAATGCTTAATCATTGCACCTGAAGACTCCCTCCACGGGGACTAGTATACAATTCTACTTTTGAAGGTAGGTAAGAATTATTTTAAACTAGCCAAACTTAGTATTTTTAGGCCCATTAAGGCTTCAAGCACATCTTATACACTACCATGAATCTACACTTAAAAATACAATTTTAATTCACCATAATGACATTTCTTCAAGATTATTAGGACAAAAGTTCTAGGTTCTATTTAACAACTGATATAGATTAACAGAGGCTTCCCTTCATAATGCCCTTCTCAAATAATTAACTGCAGCATTGCTAACCTATTTCTTGTTTTTGTCTCACAGTGAAGACTATCAACTAACTCCGTGAGGGCTACTAGTCTTTCTGATTCTACTATCTTCCCCGCCCCCTCCCCCTCCCCTGCTATCTTAATGAAACTAAATTCACAGGTAAGAGTGAATGAATACTAAACTTGCAATTCTTAATTTTATCAATTTAAGAGAGTTTGTGAATTTTTAAACTGCTGGTTAGTTGAATTGCTTTGAAGATGGCTACAAAAGGTTTTGTATTAATTTTTTCTCTACATTCCATTCAAATTTTTTTAATAGTGTTGATTCTTATTAATACTTTGTAGTTACATTTTATAAAGTCTTGGCAAACATTGAGTAAGCTGAATGAATGAATGAGTGAATGAATGAAACCAGCTGGCTTGACTTTGCGGGGAAATTTTGCGATTCTACACATCTATGAATGACAGTGCAACTGCTATAAGTACTTTTAGTACAATACGGAATCTGCAAATAATTAGGACTGTGTCTTTCATTACTTTTTACTAACAATTAGTTGTAAATAACTAAAACCTATCTTCTTATGTTTCCTTTGCACTTAGATTTTCAAAGTTGAAACATCAAGATGTTTGGTGCCCTTAACTCCATATTTGCATACTTTAATATGCTCCAGGGCTAATGGAAGAATTAAAGAACAAATATGAAAAGCTTAAGACCTAATCATTAACATTTAAAAAGCTGTACCTGTAGTATAAATACTTCTATTAAAATTAAATACAATAGGCTAAAATGGATTTTCTAGGTGACTGGTAATTTAAGTCTGAAAAACTTAAAAAAAAATTTTAAGTACCTGTATTATTTGTATTTGACTGACTGTCCTGGGAATTATCATTGCTCTCTGGGGGAGGTTGAAAGGAGGGCGATGGTGCTGCTTTAGTTCTTTTTTTGCTGGCCTTCCTTTCCATTTGACAGTCATCATCATCATCATCTTCACTTTCACTGAGATCATCAAATCCAAAATATTTAATTTTGTAATTGGAACTCCCAGAACCTCCTTCATCACCTCCTGTTTCATCATGATCTTCAAAACCAAAAAATTCAAGTTTAACATCCTTTTTGGATTTAGTATTACTAGGTCGAAATCTAGTAGTGGTCTTAGAAGTTGCAATATCTGCTTTTTTTCTTAGACGGCCAGCTTCTCCCAAATCTGCAGGAGTTGATGCCGTGAATTCATCCATGCTGCGTTCCATGGTGTCCTGTATGGTGACATTACAAACTGACAAGCAAGATGGATGGAGAACAGTGTAATCTCTAGTCCGTCCAACTGTCCCTCTAAAACTGGTCCCACAACTTACACCACCTTTCTTTGCCTGATTCAGGCCATCTTTACTTGATTCACTGTTTGCTTTGGCTAAGGCCTGGCTGGTGCCATCCATTAGCTTGTCAAAATTTGATGCTCCTTGTGAAGATTTCGCTTTATTGGCCCTGCAGTACGTCCTACAGTTACTTGGCCTAAGAACACTTTGCACAATGTCTTCTTCAATGGCTTCATTGAGATTCTCCAATCGCATTTTTAAATCCTCATCCTTCATCTCCAGAAGATGATCGCTACCCAAACTTAATACACAATCTTCTGATCGGATATCTTCAAAATCATTATCCCATTCATACAAACCAGTTCTTACAGATCCCTTAACTGGAGATACTTCTGGAGATTCTGACCTTTTCCCAACTTGCGAGTTCCAAGTATCGTTTGTTGTTTCCTTGATTTCATCACCTTTGTATCCAGAACTCACTGCAGGTTCTGCACTGGGTTTCTTACTCCTGTCTTCGGCATTCTTATAAATATGGTGACTATTCTTTTCATGTTCATCACTAAAATTCTCCATTTTACCTACAAAAATGAAAACTGTTTCAATCAAAGGATAAAAACAGGAATGAAATAAGTATTTTAAGAATAAGTGGTTATATCTGACAGACATTTCCTCACCCCCCTCTACCTTTACAGCATGTAACCTTCATGTCTAGTGATCTTTCCCCAGGCACCCAAATCCCTTAAAGCTGTTGCCTTAAACTCCTCACTTTGAGATTTCTGCACTCTTAAGCAACTGAATCAGTTCAGAGTAACACGTTAGTCAGCCAAATCTTCTCAGAGCTATGGGCTTTTTGCATAAAGAGGCCTAAATTAAAAATTATTTAGCAGAGCCAAAACTAGTATAATAAAAACTCGTCTTCCATTTGCCATGTAATAGCTTGTGTATGGCTGTCATGCTGGAAACTATGCCACTGGTATTTCAAATAAGACCAGGTAAACCTGGTGAGGTTTCAGTAGCACTTCCAGACTAAGACCAGGAGGAAGAATATGACATCTGCTTCTGGAAACCTTGACGCCGGGCTTACAATCAAGAAAGGTTGTGTTGGGAGTGTATACTCGTCATGTTTATTCAATCTGTGTGCGGAACAAATCCAAGAAGTTGGAGTCAACATCACCTAACAACAACAAAACCAACATAATACACGGAGGCAGTTTCTTATTGTTTTTAAGTGGCTGTAGTGTCTCAGAATAAGTGGCTATTATTTCTGCATGTGTGCCATTAATAAACTGAGCTGCCTATTCATTTTGTACCTGGGGAAATATATTTTTGTTCAATTAAAGTTTTATTCTCAAAAATATTTTCAAAGATCATTTTATTGGGGGCTCTGATAACAATCCATACATCAATTGTATCGAGCATATTTATACGTTGCCATAATTATTCAAAATCATTTTGTAGAAAACATTTCAAAAGCAAGAAAAGAACATGACTCTAATTAGTACTATGCTTAATTACCCCTGCACTCGGTGTGGAAAAAATACTGGTAAAAATGTAAACCCCGCCTTCCAACCTAAACAAAATTATGAAAGACACACCTGTATAAAATACATATGCAAATTCCAATTAAGAGACAATCAAATACAAGTGAGATGCTTTATATGGATTCACTAGACAACTTTAATGCTACCCAACAAATTTACCTAAAAGGTTTGTATTTACTTACCTTATATATATCTTATCAAACATAGATATATGAATGATTTTTGGGCTTACACTTCATCATAACCTTTATTACTAGAACAATTAGTTCTTAGGATATGGCCTGCTCAATACTTGTCCTCATGAAGATATCACTGAAAATATGGGTGCGGTACAAAATGTAATGAAGAAATCAGATGCCTGGCTATAATAAAAAATAGTGTTTAGAGTCTCAAAGGTTTATCTTAAAACAAGCAGCAACCTAAGTGAGTTATCAGTTAAGTCCACAGAAAAGGAATACACCGACCCACGTGATCCAAAGATTGTAAATAATAAAATCCACAGTCAGAGGAGGGCATTGTGTTAGACCTTGAATTCTGAGCGACAGTTTGCAAAAGGCCAAAGATGACTGTGAAAGCCTAAAACGTATTTGCACTGTCCCCATACAGAATAA